CCTGGGCTGCGGGCAGGGGTGGGACACGGCTTCCCTCCTGGGCCCAGCCTTGGCACTGTCACAGACGCTGAGCGGGCAGCACTTAGGGGGTCTGTCCCCCACCCCAGCCTGGTCAGGGCAGAGCCTGGAAATGTGCATTTTGCAGAAACTTGAGGGTCATTGCAAGACTGTGTAGCAGGCCTACCAGGTCCCTTCATCTCGACAGGGGCGTGTCCCTCGTTTCTTGCAGCTTCCACACCTCTGGCCCTAGGGTGTCAGTCCCCACCCCTTGCAAATATCCCTCCCAGGCTCCCCTTAGATGACCACGGACTCCCACACCTGCAACTCCTGTATTCCAGGAGCAGCTTGTTCTGGAAGGAGCCCCGATTACTCTTATTAATCTGCAGAATTCCAGGGGGGAGCCTCCCTCCGGGGCCATGTGGATGTGGGAGTGACAAGCTTCAGCTTCCACCGAGTCACTGTATTCCCCCCTCCCCCCGCACACACATCCCCCAGCCCTTAGGGGAACATGAGGCCCTCTGCCCTGGAGACAGACGTTGGGGGACACTTAGCTGCCCTTGGTTTATTCTTGAGCTTCTGAGGTCCCCCATGCCGCCACCTCCTCCACATGCTGGCACCGGTGTCTAGACGGAGCGGCACTGAGTGGCTCTGCAGGGCGTTGTGTGTGGCCAGGGGCTTGAGCCAGCTGCACATTCTGTGTGCACACCCTGCAGACAGCGACAGCTGGGTCCTGCTGGGTCTGCCAACCTGGGAGCGTTTAGTGTGACCCCCTCCAAGCCCGACAGTCCCTGTGCTGTGCCTGGATCCCTGTGGGGGGAGTTAGCTAAGTGTCTTATGAAGTCCCACCCAGGGAGGGACGCATTTTGGCGGCAGGTGGCTTTGGGGAAACGCATTCTTCCTGGGCCTCCAGGACGCTGTTGCCGGCTTTCGGAGACGGTTCATTCTTCTAAAGGTGGATTCTCGGATAGTGTGTGAACCCAAGTCAGGCATACCTCCCCCTGCTGGCGTTTCTTATATTACCAAGATGTCTCCATTAAGAAACTTAATTCCTAGGGAACTAGGGAATCTGTTTGTTCCCTAAAAATGGTTTTCTGATGCCAGCAAAGTGGGGGTTACCACAGGCAGAAAGCTTCCAGTAAGAGTACAGATAATCTTTTTAATCCTGCTTGTATTGTAAAGACACAGCGTTCTAAGTTTATCATGCACATTACCCACGCAAACACATGTAACCGCACGTGCACGCATGCACACGCAACTGCGAGTGTCCCTTCTGCAGAATGCTCCCAAAGCCGCTGTCTTCCAAGCCTCTGCTCTGTGCTGCGGTGTCCCCAGAGCACCTGTAAGACCCCTGACCCCCAAGAGGCATGCGGCCCCCGTGCCCGCCGGGACCCGGTCGGCATAGACTTTGGTGACTTCCCTTCCCGGGGGCCAGCTGCGAGACGGTCCAGGCACCGGCCCCGCCCGGGGGCGCGTTCATGCTGCGCGGTGCCAGCAGGCCTGGGAGGTGCCGTCGTGGATCGGTCCCTGTGGTTTCAGTACAGACCAGGACGCCAGACCCGCGGTCAGTATAGCGCCCCCTGCCGTTCGCTTCGCGGAAGGCGTTATGTGACGTTTCCCCGGGTCTGCTGACTCGCTCAATGTTTGGGCTTGTTCCTGACGTCACCGGTTGTCATCGTTCCCGTGCTGTGTTTCTTTATTACCCTCGGTAGGTGTTAGACTCGCGCTTTTATTTCTGTAGCGGTTTCTCCGTCGTGGAAGCACGTGGCCCAGAGCGGAAAGCGTGGCGGGGCCCTGGCCTGGGACGGCGGCTCCGTTAGCTGTCGTCCTCGCTTCTCCGAGTGTCGTTGCTGCCTCCGCCTCCCATCTCTCTGGTTCAAAAGGTGACAAAGCAAAGGATCTCTGAGTCGGGCGGCCCTAAAGGACGGCCTTTGTGTTTGATCCGTGCGCATTGGTCTGTTAGCCGTGCGGGACAGAAAGAACCACCAAACCGGAGGCAGTGCCCGGTGGCAGCTCTGGTGCGCGCAGCGGGTGACCAGCAGGCACAGCTCCAGGAGGCTCCCTGCGGCGTCGCTACCTTCGACCCTCAGCCCCGCTCGCGCTTCCCTCTGCCGTCTTCACGCAAGTGACTCAAGCTGTTTAAAATAAAGTTTACGTTGTAGTTCCTTTCAGACCTTCGCTTGGTGACTGATAAGAAACCTCTGACTCGCCGCCGTAATTTAAAGCTTTGTTGGTTTTGTCTGTTTCTGTTGGGTGGTTCCTGTTTGTTTTTTTAAACGTTGGGGCGATGTGTTTTTGCTGGGGCGTGAAGCCTGAGACCTTCCTGCGCTGGGAGCTCATGCGGGCCGTGGACAGTGGCGGGTGGGCTGCGCATGTCCCCGATGCTCTGTATCGTTCTTGGGGGGCACTCGGTCAGTGGACAATAAACTGTATTATCAAAGAAAGTGTGGCTCCCTCCGCGTGGCTGTGTCCGACGCCTGAGCTGCTGCTCGCTGGCTGAGCAAAGGCCTCCACGGGAGCCTCCGCCACCTGGGGGGGACACAGCGCACCTTGTCCTGGAGAGAAACAGGCCTGGCTGCTCTGAGGCCGACCCTGGGGGGGGGGCACAGACAGGCAGACACCCCGGGCAGGATTTCCTTAAATCGGCAAATGATAGGAGCGTAGGAGGGGCCCCCTTCATTCACTTAGCACAGGCGCCTCTGTTCACACACGCACAGGAGCAGAGCCCCGCACCCACCCCGCACCTCCCACGGTGAGGATTCATGCCCCGTCTTCCCTCTCCACCCGCCTGTGTCACAGAGCAGTAAATGCCATCCATTTAATGTCACAGGCTGCAGAAATATTTATGGCTTTTTCCTATACGGTGACACATATGGAGAAATGGTTCTTACCGGCATCTGACAAAGATAAGACAAACTTTTTGTGTCACACAAGCGACCTTACTAGGCATTTGTGTCTGTCCTGACCTGTGGGCCGCGTTTGGGGTCTTAGCAAACAGCACGCGGGACCGTTGCTGCCCCTTTCATCTCTCCCATATACTCGGGTCAAACGTGATTTTTTCTTTTAAACCACAGAGGTGCATTTATTATTTTTTTCTTTTTTAAAATATGTATTGATTTCAGAGAGAGGAAGGGAGCGGGAGAGAGAGAGAGACACCAGTGATGAGACCGTTATTGATCCGCTGCCTCCTGCACGCTACCTACTGGGGACTGAGCCCGCGACCCTGGCCAGGAATCGAACCTTGACCTCTTGGTACATAGGCGGACGCTCAACCACTGAGCCACACAGGCCCAGGTTTTCTCAATCTTTGCAAACAACGTGAAGTCAGTTTGGAGACCCACATATGGGGCGACCAGATTGTCAGAGAGTCTACCAGACACTCTTA